TCCGCTCAGAGCTGAGCTGCAAGCGACTCGCCTGGGAGTTTTAAAAACAGTGAGTGTGACAAAGACCAAGATTTGCTAAACATCCCCTGCTGAAGTGAGCCCCAGAGCAGAGCCAGGCGGCTGGGGACGGGTGCGCTGGCAGAGGGGCTCCTGCCAGGCGGTTTCCCACCCGCAGCAGCGTGCTGCAGTCCCGGCCGGGCTGCTTCGGAGAGGGAGTGAAGGCAAAGCAGCTTGCAGCCCTCTGGGGCCTCTCCCGGCCTGGAAAATGCCCTGAATTCACATTCCTGTTAGAGCAGACTGAGCCCTCCCGAAGAGCGTGGGCCGACACGGCTGCAGAGGAGGGTTCGTGCACCGGGGCTGGGGAGCGGATGCAGGGCTGCAGTGCCCAGGGCTAGGGACGCCTTTCCTGTCCCCTCTCCAACAGGGAACAGAGCCAGGGCTGACCTGGAGCATGCAAGGAGGAGGAAGAGGAAGCTGAAGGCACGAGGTCAGCCTCCATGGGCACGTGCAGCCTGCAGGGCTGCTGGGACAGGGGGTCTGTCCCTGGTGCCAGGCTGACCTCTGCAAACAGGGTGGCTGCATCCGTGGTCCCTGCATCCCAGTGGGATTTGCTGGGAGAGGGAAACCCCAGCTGCTCCTCGGTGCCACGCCGATGGGCAAAGCCAGGTTTATCCCATGGGATGCCAGGGGGCTGGCTAAGCACCAGGCACCACGTGCCCTGTACTGGTGCTGGTGCCAGTGCCAGTGCTGGTGCATGCTGCACGGGCGGCACTGCGCTGGAGCAGAGGACAGGCTGAGGCATCAACGCTGTCTAATGCCACCCCACGTGCTGCCTTTGGTGGGTCCCCCATTAAGGACCAGACCTGGGCACACACAGTTGGGAGGCCACCACCCGCTGAACCACAGGGCGTCGGGGGGCTCGAGGGATCCAGCCCCCAGCAGCACTGCGGCACGGGGCCATCCCCGGCTCCCCAAGGCCACACTGCAAATTCTCTCAAAGGGTTTTGCAGAAGGAAACTATTTTGCATGCTTTAATAGGATTATTTTTACCAGTCACTTAGCCCCTCTCCTTGCTAAGACACCGTTTTACTTCTAACACTGAGTCAATTAAAGGTGAAACCCTTAAAGTGTGTCCTTGTGCCCAGTTACTGAGCTAACCGTGCTTTGCTCCTCAACCCTGATGTTTGTCAGCCCGCAGGCGAAGTAGCAGTCAGTCCAAAGTGGGACAACCCTGCTAGAACGAGCGGGGCCAATTTAATTTGGCCAACTTAAATGGGAGCGTGCTCGTTTTGCCTGCAAGGAACCCAGACTTTTCCCAGGGCAGAGGCGTGCGCTCCTGCTGGGACTCGCTGCCGTCGTGCCGTGTCCTCCCCTGCCATGGGGCTGTGGCAGCCTGCCTTCCCGCAGGAGCCTGCTTACAGCTGGGTGAACTATTTATTAGCATGATTTCACTCTTTTCTAGTTGCTGCTTAATCACAAATTGACTGTGAATTGTACCAACGTGTTACTTATTTTAAATTATCACCAAATGCTTTGCATGAGCATATGTCAGCCTCGGAATGGCTTGCGATCTGTCTGCTCCTACTCAGTGTGAGCATCAGCTCTTATTTTTTCTGCCTTTTGTTGGGGGGAAATAGAGACGTCCTGGTCACAGTAGGTTTGGGATTTGAAGCCTCCCCCTCCTTCTCCTCTGGCTTCACCCAGGCTTTCGGGTTCCTTTGGTGAAGTTGCCCGAGGGACGGGGGAGATCCGCGGGAGCCCCCCACCAGCCCCAGCCTCTCCAGCCGCGCTTCGTTAGCAGCCAACCCCGGCCGCGCTTCGTTAGCAGCCGGCCATCGTCACAGCCATGTCGCGCTGGCAGCAGGAAGGTGCAGCCCCTCGGAGCAGGTTGCTCTGGGTCCCCTGACGCCAGCTGCGAGCTTGGCCCCACTAGTGCCCCCCGGGAGACGTGCTCCCCGGGCGCTTTGGAAGTGACGCTGGCATCCCTCCTCCGCCGCAAGTGCCGGAGCGTGTGTTAATGTAGGGAGCGCGTTCTCATGCGCCACGAGGTGAAGAGCACTAATGAACCTCACAAGCCGGTATTGTCTAACGAGCAAATGCAGCTGCGACAGGCAGCCCGGTATGGGTGCAGGGAGGAGTTGCTATAGAAACACACAGGGATAACAGCTCCTCCAGAAGCCCCTAAACATGCAAATGGGAGGGTAGGAGTGGGTAAGCGGGGTGTCAGGCAGAAAGAAAAGGAAAAGAAAAAGCATTTCCCCGTGTTACAGGGGTCAATCCCCGGCCGGGGTGGGAGCGGTGCAGACGCACCCTCCTCGCTCCCTCCCGGGATCCCGCTCTGCGCTCGCTGTGCGTCCCCGGGGGTCCCGGGGGTCCTTGCAGGGGGCACAAAGGCCACTTGGCTGCTGGCAGAGCAGCTCCTACCGGGCAGAGGGGAGGTGACCTGAAACGGAGCAAGTTCCCAGTGGTGTCCCCTTGCCTGCAGTGTCACCGTGCCCGTCCTCGTCCCCACAGCACCAGCATCTCCCAAGGGGCGCGAAGCTCCGGCCTGGCCGTGGTGGGACCTGGGGGGTGGCAGAAGCCGAGGCTGGAGCCCAGGAGAGTGGAGTCCGGGACTCCCAGCAGAGGGGCTGGGGCAGGAGATGGGGAGCAATATTTTGGGGGAAATGTGCTGGGGAAGAAGCAGCTCTGGAGGAGGCGGTTTGGCACTGGCAACACGGGGGGCACTTGCACGATGGGACCCCTGGCTGTGGGTACCACGCAGCAAGGAGTGGGGTTGCAATGGGACGGACACCGTGGGGGCAAGGGTCCTCCCCTGCCCGGCCGGCTCCCTGGCTGTTGGCATGGGGGAATTAATCTGGGACTTGAGCTGAACCTTG